AAACTGCTCATTTCCCCCCAATAAAACTTGTTAAACACAAACATATTTTACTGCTGACACGGCCCTACAGAGTCATGAAAAACTATTAATAACCAAATGACACAAAGAGACAGAAAACAGGCGGTGGGATTTGATTTGCTTCGTGTTGTTGAGCAAGAGCCTATAGACTCCCTGACTGCAGCTGAGTTTTCTAGTATTCGGCCTTAGACTGTGATCTGTGCTGAACAAGTTCAGGCCAACTCTGGAGCATGAATGTTTAACAGGCAGCTGAAAGATTCATAAAGCTCTTAAAATGCTCTCACTGCCTCTGAGCTGCAGCTGAAGTTCAGCTTCTCACCTCTAAAGCTCTGCAACACCAGACAAGTTTACACTGCTTTACCAGTACCGTATTTTCACGACCATAGGGCGCACCGTGTTATAGGGCGCAGCTTCAGTTACGGGTGTCTTTTTGGTATTTAACACATACAAAAGGCGCACCGGGTTATAGGGCGCGGGCACGGTAAAACGTACCGGTAAAACATCTGTGCGGGCTCGGGACTCGGAACATATCAGTGCAAACCAGACATTGTGAAAAGCATGCTTCACTTTACTGGTCTAGTCCTGGTTCAGACCTGGTTTAGAGTACTTCCTCATTGCGTGTGCTGACGGCTCGTGCTCTTCTAATGGGCTCGACACACGGGAGGCAACTTCGCCTCTCCTCCATTCATTTTCAATGAGACATGCGCGACAAAGCGATAATCGCGGGTCTCCCTCCTACTAAAGCCGGGCGTACACCGAGAGTGCTGCAGGAGGACACACAGGGATTTATGGGGGTTGGATGAGGAAAACGAAATAAAGAAAGTAAATCTGTGTTTTGTGATCAGTTTAATTTGACATGAACACAACAAGCACGCTTTCTTGACAATCTTTGTGAGTAAAAAAAAACATGTAGAAATAAAAACGAACAGCGTGTGTTATTAGGGAAATAGCGGGCGAGAAGTGTTGATGCATGATTGCGCATGCGCCGTGAGCGGTTCTGGTACATTTTGGGTCGCAGCTGCTCGCAGCGCCGCTTCAGGTGCTGATGCGCTTTGTTGAAGTTCAGAATGTGTTTACCGGTAGTTGGTGGATTTAACCACATAAACTTTCCACATGAACAAAATCATATGTGTGTTATTAATAGGCCTAAGAAAATAGTGTGATTTGAATTGTGTTTTATTACCCCTCTGGGGTCCATGGACGCGTATCCGCGTCTTTTGAACAGGTCTGATTTGGGATAATGTAGCAGCAAGACTCCGCTTCCCTGAGTTTCGGTTTCATTTCAGCTTTAAAAAGGAGATTATAAACTACACCCCAGTTTTTTAATTTTGTTAATAGGCAACGTAAAAGCTGAGTTATACTAAACTAAAAAAACGACCTCTTTTTAGACAATCTGACAACTTGTCAAAACAGCAGTTTAGTAATCCGTGAGAGGGAATGAGCTTGTGAACATAAAAACCCACAAAAACATGAGATCTTTTTGCTGTTGGTGGAAGTCTCACATATTAAATTGATAAAAAGTATTATTATGTAGCTGAGAGAGAGGAAGGCTGCACGAGTAACGAGATGTGCGCAAAAGGGAGCCGCTTCGCGGGAAAGGAGTGGCACGAACGGAGTAACAACAAACAATTAGACAGATATTGATGGTAAACTTCATATTGTGGAGCGATCCGGACAGATCTATTCTCGCTGCAGTTTAGTAGGCTTTTATTAGGCTTTAAGAAAGGATGATGAGAAGGATAAATGTCCACCAGGCAGTTCAGATAGTATGTCTGTTTTTTGAACTGGAAGCAGAGGAAGTGGACGGAGACTCACAGCCGGAGTCTGAGGCAAACAGCGAGGATGTTGATGACGATGTGGCAGATCAACAGGTCTGTCTTCGCTCCCGTCCGCACGTTCACGCCATGCCCCTTTTCTTCTACTACGTTCGCGTCTCACAACAACACAATAGGCGCACTGCACCATAGGGCGCGGCGTACATTTTGGAGAAAATGTACGACTTTTAGGTGCGCCTTATAGTCGTGTAAATATAAACCCACTCTCATGGGTTTATTTGCGCCACACTGCCTAGCTTATTCCACTGGTGGAGACACACATGTTTATCTGGAATTGGCTTGGTACAGGATGGTTTAAAGGCTCCATGGTTATTTTTTACATTCCATCCATCCATTGTTGGCCACTTATCCGAGGTAGGGTTGCAGGGGCAGTAGCTTAAGCAGGGAGGCCCGGCAGACATCCCTCTCCCCAGCCACTTGGACCAGCTCCTCCAGGGGAATCCTGAGGCGTTCCCTGGCCAGATGAGAAACATAGTCCTCCCAGCTTGTCCTGGGGCTTCCATTAGGTCTTCTCCCGGTTGGACGTGCCCAGAAAACCTCACCAGGGAAACGTCCAGGATGCATCCTAACGATTGGCACTATTTGTGCCATTATTCATCTTAATTTCACCACTCACTAAGAATATGAGCACCTGTGAGAGCATGCACGAGTGCTGCCATTAAACATAGACACTCAGCTTTTAATTTAAACTCAAACTTGTGTTTAAAACTCACCAGTCATGCAAGAGTCTGTTTTACTGCAGTGAGCTCCACTAACAACATCCCACGACTTTAAAACCAAGGATCAAGAACATAAACATCCATTTCTAATGCAGAAACCACACTGAAGATCTTTGTTAGGAAAGAAGCACATAAACATGTTTACAGCTATGTTTGCTTTCAGATGCAAGAGTAAACCCCAGAGGCACTTTCTTTACCCACAAGAGTGTCTGAGTGGCTGTTTTACAGGAGGAAGCAGATGTTTCAGTCAGAGGGAATCACTTTCTGTTGTGCACATGGAGACCTCAGACTAATAACGCTGACCTCATGTTGGAGGCAGCAGATCAGCAGGATTCAGGTTTTAAAGCACAAAAGGGCTGGATGTGAAAATGCTTCAGTCCAGACAACAGCTACAAACTGGGACCTCTGGATGTCTACATCAGCCTGATGTGGACATCCAGAGGTCCAATGGGTTTCTAAAGGCCTGGGACGTCTGGATGTCTACATCAGCCGGATGTGGACATCCACACTTCTACAGCCTACAACTGGATGTCTTCAGCAGGAAGCTGAAATCTAAAACTTATCTTTAACACATCACCTCCAGGTTGCACTTCTGCTCTTTAGTTTAGCATTGGCTGTTGTGTTTTCTGTCATTTCAAGCTAAGAGGAATATTTCGAATAGACGTTGGTGAGAAAAGTTAAAGAAAACAGACACGTTTGTGGATGAATAGGATTTGATAATAAACAAGTCAGAATATTACACACCGTGCCTTTAAGAACTTATTGCAATCAACGATGGCAACTCTCTAGTCCAGTTCCTGCTCACACCACTACCTGTGATTTCCACAGAAACCATAAAGCTGGCCTTGTTTGTCCATTAAGCATACTCCTGATATTTCATATCATCTTTAGGAAGCCATGGAGAAGAACGGTGTTTCTGTTTGAAGCTCTGACGGGTACACCGTTGTGTGCCGTTCTCCCTGGACTGTGGAGTCATGGACACTAAAAGGACCCTTAGAGACCTTTAATGTTCTTCTTTCTGTTTCTGCAGACTGCCCGCCTGCACGCTTCTGTGGAGGATTACAATGGGCTTAAATGTCATCCTTTCCCACACACTCTCTTTAGAGCCAGCCCTGTAACATTTCTAGCTACAGCGTTTCTCTCCAGCCCCTTCAGAAATCTCTGGTTTGTGTCATGGCATGCTTCCATAAGTGGGTGCCACTAAGATAATAAATCGAGTCGACGGAGTTCTGATATTTAAATGTCAGCACCTAAACTTGATTAACCCAAGAGCTTTGAAATCTTACTCATAAATTAGCACTACATCAAAAACAGGGAAATTCACTCATATAAAAAATAATTAGTTTAACAGAGTTTTCTATTTCTGGGACTGTTGTTGGTTTTTGACCATCAGCAGCAATAGAAAAACATTATAGGAAAAGGCTCAGTTTGAGGTCCACATCCACCAACCTTGAAATAGAAATCCTACATAACAAAGACTGGTCGACTAGAGGAGGAGAGGGATTTTAAATCAGTGCAAGACCAGATGTGTCAAAACTAAATATCATCTCACTACCTGCTCTCCTCCTCCAGCAGATATGACCTTCGCTCTGTGAGCCGTAACAGGGACGCCAGCGGTTCTCCAAATTCATGCTGTGATTTAAAGGTACTGATACCAAGAACAGGCTGGTTCAATCTGAGCATCATCTATGGGGAGCCAGCTGTAGTATCTTACAGTAAAACACTAACCATTTGCCACATTTAACATTTTAACAAATTTACTTTTTCACATTTAAATCCCAAAAACAATAAAAACTGTGTGTGACATTTTTATCACTTTTTTCTAAATAGTGTTGTTAAATTCTGTTTTGATTTTTTAAATTTTAAGAATACTTAGTAAATTCAGAGTGTCCTACCAAAATAAAAGCAGGGGTACTATAGGGATTGTTTATTAGTCCTGTATTTTTTTACTGAAGAACGTTAAACAGACTCCAGGGTCTCTTTACTCAGCTTTTATTTTGGTAGCCTTCTTTTGTTTTAGGGCTACTGTTAAATGTGGCAGAACCTGGCTGTTATTCCTTTATTGTTTTACTTTATCCTGCTGACCCATGAGAAGTGGCACCAGTAAACCTGTTCACTTAGTGGATTTATCACTTTCTAATTTGGCACCACTAGGTTCCTGATTTCGTCCATGATTTCATTCAACTAGCTAATGAGCAGATCCAGATTCCCCCATTGGCCACAATATAGGTCAGGTCAGTCTACTGGGGCACGGTGCTACAAGACGTGTGAGTGAGGGAGTGAGGGAGTGATCGTCATCCATTCATCTTCCTGCTCACGTGCACTTTGCAACCAGAGTTCAGGACATGATGGTTAAAACTAAAGTTAATTTAGTGGGTTCCACTTGGAGTTAATAAATAATAAAGATGAATGAGATGGTTCCACTCACCCAGAACGCCAACGGTAAAAAGCTTTAGCAGCAGGAGCTCATTAGTATCCATCACGCTGTGAGACTCCAGTCGGAACCAGAAGGAAACCTCAGCAGCACGCGCTCTTAAACCGAACCATCATGATGAAAGGATCCCAAACGGGCGCGTTCTGTCGCGAGGCGCAGTGGCACGTGCAGGGTAGGGAAACCGGAAAACAGATAAACTAAACAAACAAACGTAAAAATGAAGCGTGGCGTCTCTGCTCGATGTGTGATCCGTTAGGAGTCACAGCTCAGAACCGCGCGGTCCTGCATCCTCACGGTCGGGGGGGGGGGGAGATGACCGGGGTGGGGGTGGAGGGAGGGGGGGGGGGATGGAGCCTCTCCACTGAGTTCATCATCACTGGATTATACGAAGTTCACCAGAGCACCATCAGCACGCGTTACAGACTGGACTTTGTAAAGAATTATTATTTAATCAGGATGCAATTGATTTTAAAAAGCATTTCAAAAGATTAAAGCCAAAATGAATCAAACTGTCAAGAAAAATCTGATAAGAATTACTTTATTACTTCAAATCAATAAAATGGTATCTTAACAATGGTTTAATTACGATTAAACATATGTAAGTGAATTGGTGAACTCCCACAGAAACGCTGGATGCAGCTAATGAGACAATACTGACCTCTTCTGGCTACTTTTGTTTTTACATTTTCACAGATTCTCCATGTAACCGGAAGCTTTTCAGACCAAACTCAACATAAAACTATTTAAACACTCAGCTGTTTTAACTGTTTGTTTATTAGACAAAATGTCTTCACGAGATATTTCAAACAGCTGAAGTGAATGACCTCCTACACAGGGGCGCCTCCAGAAATTTTTGATAAGGGTGGCCAAATGGGGCCAAATAAACTCTTGGGGTGGCCCAACAAATTGGTCCTAGTGGTAACTCTGGGAGAGTTTAGCCTGTGTCGATACACTGCATTGCTCCTTTATTCGTTATTGTTAAAAAACAAAGCAGCATGTATCCAAGACACTAAACATTACAAACACAAACACTTCAGAAAAGCACATTTCAGTTATTTTAAATGTAAAAAATGTTCACAGTAAATTACCTGTTGCTGTGTTCACAAAAAACTATGGAACTATTATATATTATATGTTTAAATGGTGAGAAGCAGAAACAAGTTTATTTCTATTCTGGTTATTTCTTTGCTCATTAATTGTATAATTTTTATTGTGTTTTACATTTATGTCTTGAATAAATAAAATTAATTTATTGTAAGAGTGAACATTAGCATAACTTATTAACACCGGCTTTTCCTGGGGGAGCAGCAATTTTCTAGGGGTGGCCATGGCAACCCCTGGCCACCCCTTGGGGGCACTATTGCTCCTAAACCAGATTTGTAATCATCAGTCAAGTGTCAACAATGATTTCAATAACTTCTAATATTCTCTTCATTTATCCACTTAAGTAAAATGTTATAGGATTGAAAAACTGACTCATATGTAATTAGATTAAAACTAATAAACAAAATAATAAATAAATCAGCCATTTTAGTTAATTATAAGTTAACGTGCAGTATTTATGAGATAGTTTGTGGTTAATCTGGCACCACATTCTCCAGATATTCATTTGAAATACTTTTTAAAAAAATTTAACTTTTAGCCTTATTTATGAAACACCTTTTGGACATGGGTTTCTTATTTGATGACAGTTTATCAGCTGAGATCTGTTGCAAATGGGCTAAATCACATCATGCTGTGTTGTTGATCATCTCGATTCTCCCAGTGGAAAATAAATGAGAGTAAAAACAGAAAGAGGGGGCTGAGCTGATCAGATTCTGAAGGGTGTGGAGAAGATGGACAAAAATAGAACCAAACAAGCATCTTTTTGTCATTTTGTGAAGAATCTATGTCTTGTGTCTGTTGAAATGTGAGGAATGTGACACTGCAGAAAACCTGCTCTTACAACATCAACAAACACAAATCATAAGACAGAACATTTTCACCCAAAACATCAGCTCTTTTACACATGTCCCTCATGAGGTTAAAGCTGTAACACTTTATACATGGGATATTTCACTTTATGTAGTGTGTTTTTATTATATTAGCTGTAAATAGGGTGACCAGATGTCCCGCTTTGTACGGGACAGTCCCGCATTTTCATTACTTTTCACGTGTCCCGCAAATTGAGACTCATGTCCCGCATCAAGTTTCTCGTTTCGAGTTTCAGTCTTATAAAATAAACTGTGAAGAAATCTGCCTGTTGCTGTCAATCAAACAGAGGCGGGACTTTAACGCAGATCCAGAGCGTGTGTGGAGCGCACCCGAACCACCAAAACAAGCGCGTGAACACGGAGGAGAAAATGCTGTAAACTCGTGAATTAAACGTGTTCAGAGATACTCTGACAGAGTCTTTGTTGTTTCTAAGGCAATTTTAATGCCTCGGCGCGGAGTCTGATATCAAAAGTAGGTTTTCCAGTCATAATAATAAGACAAGTCCATGATAAACACAATGGAGGCTCTACAGACGGTGCTGCGGTTTCATGTAGAGCCCCTTAAAGCATAATGAGAGAATAAATGGAAGCCTTGATCACTTATTGTCAAAAATTTGAGGCAAAAAGTGATTCTAAGAAACTATTATTAGATTAGATCAGAATTTTTTAGAGATTAGGATCTGATGTTTATTCTCTCACCTTGTTGTCATGCTAAAATATTGTTTTGTTTCTAAATTACGAGAAAAAAAATGCAAAAAAGTATGGATCATTTTTCAAAGAGATGCTGATTGCTGATTTTAGTGGAAAATTCATTAAAAGAAATCATAAATAGATCTACAAAATATTGCTTTACTGTCATTCTGTGGTGGAAAACATTTAATGAAAACTCTGAAAAGCTGCATGTTTTTATTATTGTGGGCCTATCATTAAAATGATCAGAGCCTTCACAGAAGGCCCAAAGAGCCTGAGTTATGTTGTGGTAACTTGAGAGGAACTGTCAAATAGTAAAGGTTTTGCTGTATGTTTCACCATGCTGAATTCAAATAGAATATATGAAATATATTATATAATAAGAATATTAATTTTGTGTATATGTAACAGTGATGTAGGGCTAAAAGGCAGAATATGTTTGTTTGTTTGTTTGTTTGTTTGTTTGTTTGTTTGTTTGTTTTTTCTCATTGGAACTTCACGTTGTCCCACATTGAGTAGTCTCTGTCCCACATTTGGCAAGTTGGGATCTGGTCACCCTGTAAATAGTTTACTGTTGTAATAAGGTGATTTTCCACACTGAGAGAAAATTAGATGATGTTTCCGGTTTAGGCTGATGATCACTTTCAGAGGGCAAGGTTCTTACTGTGTTGTTATTAGGTGTGAAAACTGGGACAAGGGAGGTGAAATTTTCCAAATGCTGATCCAGGTGTAATTACCTACCTGCTCTGGTATTAGCGGAAGCGTCGCAGCTCACCTATTGCTCAGCCAGGTATTGACCTTTAACCTGGCAACACCGTTCCTTCCTGCTCATCTCAGTGATGAATTCCTCTCCACATTGTTGAAGATGAGGTGAATTCCCAGGTTGAATACCGATGTCTGACGGAATCGGTTAAACACGGGATGTCAACAAGTGACGCAGGAGAGCTGGAGCTGAGAGGAGAGGCGGCAGCAGCAGTAGCAGAAACGCCTCTGTGCGCCACAGCGCGACCAGCACGGACCGCAATCAGGTAGCGGAAAATCACCTTAAACTTCACTTTAACCGCCACCTTTTCTCTTTATACGAAGCGGTTTAGCTTTGTAGACGTTGTATGAATTACTACGTACTTTAAAAGCGTGCGTATGTGTTTTAATCGCGGTGCTTCACCTACGTAATGGAACGCAGAGGAGTTTCATGCAGAACTGCATTAAGAAACCGACGGTTTTACGAAATTAGCGCATATCTAAAAATGTGCTTGCCCTATCGACAGAATTATAACTCGTATGAGTACATCCATCCGTGTAGATTAATTCTGCTTTGTAAACATGAAGTTATTTCGTATTTTAAACGACGTATAATGCGTTGAACGACATTTCTCACCATATCGGGGATACTTGACAGCGTTACGCCAGAGTATATTTTAACGTTTGATGAAGCAGATTGACATTGTGTAATAAGCCGTTTAGAGGAATAAGTGTAGCTATAGAAGTTACATTTATTAAATTTATGGTACACGTTTTTATTTCCGCATGTTGGTTAATATTCCTCTCCTAACTCATAAAATGTGACGCATCTGTTCTCTTCTTCTCTGGTTTCTAAACATGTAGCTGTTTTCTTTACACTTGCATGTCTGTTTAGTGGCATTTATCCACTTTCCTCCTGCATGTAAGCGTGAACATGCATCTCCACTGAAACAGGCGAGCTGGTACATGCACGTGAAGGTTTTATTGTCTGTGCATGCCACGGATCAAGCTCCATTTGTGCCTTGCACCTCCTCCTAATTCCTACTGATCCAACATGCTGTACATCAATCCATAGATTAAAACCCAACTTTGAAAAGGTGTGGCTGCAACAGGACACGCCTCTCATTGTCACCTGGATCAGTTTTATACACTGTAATAAATTGTAGGCCAGAATAACTTAAAAACGAAAGTTCAACAGCTGCCATTGTGAGTCTAAACAACAAATATTATTAGATTACAAAGTGGAAAAGTCATTTTGTGTTATTAAAAATACACACAATTCTACATTATGTTAACTTATAAATTAGAGTTAGACATGTATGGTTGTCCATTCAAATTAAAAGTTTTTGTTAACTGAACAAATGGATTAATTGTTTGAACTTGTGTTATCAAAACGGCAGCTGTCATGCCAATACAGGCAAACAGTGAAGCAGGAAGCTAACAACACTGAAAAATGCTGGCTAACTCACACCTCTTACACAACACAAGGAGTTGAATCCTAAGCATTTAACGAGAACTACAACTTTATGTAGTGCAGTGGAGTGAAACGGCACAACGTTCTTATTCCTACAACCGCCCTCCTCACTTTCATTGTCAACATGACAACAACAAATAACTCCATCTTTGGAACACTAAACAAAGCAAAAAGTAAGAACAACTCAACCGCCCACAATAAATGTGCATAAACACTTCAAATTTGAACAAAATAACTAGGGCCCAACCGATATGCTTTTTTCGGGACCGATACCAATATAAAACTTTTAACAAAGGCCGATAGCCGATATAATGGTCGATAAATCTCCCTCACAAAAAAAAAGAATAGAAATTTTCTTAAGCTTAAACCCTTCATTCTCTGCCTTTTGATGCAAACTTATTTCTCTATTACACACCAAAGAACTGTCTCAATAACTCACTAGGGTTTCCAACAAGTAATGTAAATAAAATGTATTTAGCAGATCTCAAAAACAACAGTAAACTGTGGTTTCCACAAATACATTTTAACTTAAAGGAATATTCCACCTCTCAGTATAATTGTGTCTTGTTAAGATTCCCCAGAGTTAGACAAGTCAGAAAAAGCATTTTATAACCAGCCCAATATGATCTGGCAGCAGTTGGTTTTCTTAGTTTAGCATAAAACAATGTAAGTGAATTCACACACATTGTAGTGTTTTTTTTTTTATGGAGGTGAATGCAAGCCTTCCCTTCCATTGCTTTATGCTAAAACAACTGGTTACAAAATGTTTTTTCTGACTTAGCTAACTCTGGGGAATCTAACAACACACACACGTTTAGGGACAGAAGGTCCCTATAAGAATATTAAAATAACAAAAATGCGGCAATAAATAAAACGTAATACTTGTGCTTTGTAACAAAGTAACACTCTGTGGAAGTTAACTTGGTGAACTTATTCACCCTGGACATGAAATAATTGCACATAAGAAACATAAATAAATAAAAAAGTTCCAAAACAATAATTTGGGTTCAAAGTTCAAAGGAGTGGAGCCACACAACATGAGTTCATAAAGCTGGCGCCATCTGCTGGATAGGTAGCGCAATATCGACCGTCTTTTTGGTCGATAGCCGATACTGTTACTTAGGGCTGCTCGATTATGGCAAAAATAATAATCACGATTATGGTGACTGAAATTGAGATCACGATTATTTAGGACGATTTTTCAATTTATGTTGATTTTATTTGTTTTTATTCAGTCATAAAATTGCTCAGGGCACAATCAGGACAAAAATAAGAAACAAGATGATCACTAAAATAACTCCTGATTCCCAGGATAAAAAGACCAATATACTTATAGCTCATAGTCTATGACCCAAGGGCTACAGACCTTGGTTTAACTCATTTAAGTCTAACCAGTACAGACCCAAATACCAATACCTTGCAAATACTGACAGCAAGAATTATACAGTGGCATTTATAACAAATAAATGCAAATAAATTGATGTTCACAAAATGTTGCATAACATTTATTGAGTCGTGTCAAGGTGCTGTAGGTGAGTGCACTAGCACCGTGTCCTCAGAGAGATTAGTTATTAGTTATCAGCGTGAGGAACTTATTTCTACCTTATTTATAAACTATTTATTTACAAGTCCATCAGTTAATGTAATAATTGTCCCAACCACAGCTGCACCCCCACCCCCCAACCCGGTCTCACAGCAATCGGGGCAAACCGCACGTGTGTTTAGCGCGCCGCACGCGCACATTTAGCCGTTTTTAGAGGCTCAGGAGTCCGCAGGTACGGTGTGTGTGTCACTCACTCTGGTTAATCCAACAAGGAGCCGGCTCCGAGAGCTGTTTCTTTAGCGACTGACACATCACTACATAATTCCCTTTCCTAATGTCCTGAAGAACGGTCCGGAGCGCAGGTGGAGTGTTTAGCTAACCTGCAGGAAATGTCGACGACAGTTATCCAGAAAGTAGCTAAGGGTTACCAGAGATGTTTCTGAGATGTTCGCTAGGTACTTTTAGGATTAAAAAGTCAAGAAAGGGGTCTGAAAAGCTGCTAGAAATAGCGTCAAAGTCGCTAAGTTGGCAACACTGTGAGGAGCGCTTCATTTGCAACTCAGGGCAGCGCAAGCGGGAGGAGCAAATAATCGGCTTGTTTTGATTTTTATAATCGTTCAAAACTCAGATCGTAATCGTGATTAAAATTCGATTAATTGAGCAGCCCTACTGTTACTGACCCCAATATCGGCCGGCCGATATATCGGTCAGGCCCTAAAAATAACTAAAGACATGACTACCCACAATGCACCTCATCCACTGCAGCTTTCATAGTGGGCGGGGTCATTTTTTAATCTATAAATTGCAGTTTTAAGGACTGAATGCACGAGAATGAGTAAAATATAATCATTTGTTGAAATAACAAGCAATTTTAAGTTTTCACTAGCAAAACACACAAAACTGAGTTTAACTATTCTAACCTAATAGGGAGGCTTAGGTGAAATAGGAAAAATAAATTGAAACAACTTTTTGAGGCTGTCTTTTTTTTTTTTTACATTGTCCGTCTCAGCTAGACATCACTAAGCTTTCTGAGTTATCTTTAGCTTTAAAATGCAGTACCATGGGTAAATCATGTGCAGGAATTGGAACATGACATATGTTTGACAGAGCTGAGCACACACCCACTCTTTAGACCTTAGTTATGTAAGTGCAAGCTGACAGATTGTGCACACACCCACAGAGAGAGAGGCTGACCTGATGATGTGTAAAAGGAAAACACCGACATGGCTGCAGCCCCCAAAGGCCTCTCTGAGATAAGAGTCAGAACAGCATCTAAACAAAGCGAGCCGCTGATAACGATCATAATGCACTCATGACAGGTCAGCTGGGAGCTAAAGATTAAAGGTTTTAGTTTTTGCACAAACTAGATGTCATTAATCACATTTGGTTTGTTCGCTCTGATGAGGGAAAAATCCTCTAAAACATTTCTGTTCCTGCAGATTAATCAACAATCCAGTCTACACTGAAAATATCTTGCGTGTGAGAACTTAAACTGTACATTTTTTCAGTGTCTGTTTGAAAATTTATTTTTCTAACCCTAAAATATTGAAAACAGGAAAATGACCATTTTTAAAAAGTCACACGAGTTTGGTGATTTTTAAAGAATCGGATAAACTTTTATAGTTTTCTTCTCATAACTAAGATAAATGTGATGTCTTGTAGTTTTAAAGTGATCTTTGTAATTTAGACTCTCTTACATAACCACAGGACATGAATATTAAAACATTTTAATGGTTAGATAAAAAATAGCATCAGATAGCTGCATAAATATTTTTTTTACTAAGGCAGTGCGGAGAAAACACTGATGCACTAACATATTGTGATGTTATGTATTATAATTCTGAATCGTTCTTTAAAAGCAATGTATTGGTTTTATTTAAGGAGAATTTCCTTGCAAACATTTACTGTATTTCTTATGTGCAGTGCAATTCCAACTCCAGCTGCTAGGTGGCAGCAGTTTACTGCCTTTGTTTTGACGGACTAATGAAATCTCACAATAACACAGGATCTAATCGGAGTTTTACAAATCAATTCAGTCTGAAAAATTGCAAATATTGTCTTGTTTTGGTATCACAATACATTGTATCGTCAGGCTTGTATCGTGATATTTAGCATATCGCCAGATTCTTGCCAAGGCACACCCCTACACAGTATTAAGACAGGTTTTTAAGTGTTGGACCCATAACCATGAGATTGCAGACTTCCTCATACCTCGGCAGCTTTGATTTGACTAAACGAGACGTGAGCTAAACCTCATCGGGAATTGTGCGGATGCGATGAACACTGTTGGGGTGGATATTTAAGAAGAAACAATTAAGCGTTCATACCAGAGAAAGTGAACACACCCAGAGAAGTGCACTAAGAGAGATACACTGCCTAGAGACCAATTAGGAGGGTTGGGTGCTTTGCTCAAGGGCACTTCAGTCCAAGGACAGTGTTCCTGCTTTACCACTCCACCCAACATTTTTGTTGCGAGTTGAGAAAACCAACCAGCAGCTTTGATGGTTCTGAGCTACATCTGTAACCTTTATACTGCCTTATGGGAATGTGGGCTAAACACCAGCTCCTGGTCCACCATCATACACCAGTCCTCCTAAAGACACTGTTACCTTCAGGTTTACAGGCACTAATGCTGCTTTGATGTGTTAATATTTCCGCCACTGCCTACGGGGGAAGTAAGACTTGAAAACACACTGAAGGTGTGCCGTCCTTGGCATGTTTTGGAGAACACAAGCATCTCCTGCCCTTCCTCCTCACATTTCTGCCTGCCTCTCTCTCCCTCATGTCTTGTCATGGCAGGCTTTCATGCAGAGTATTCTCTAGTCAAATAGGACCAGCGAGTCACCCCTGAAGGCAAGGTGGGGATGCTTCAAGCTGCAACTATGAAAAACCAAAGAAAACAATACAAATATGGCTCAATCTAGCAAGGAGTCTTCATGCAAATGATGGTGAACTGCCCTGTTGGAGGTGATGACTAGTATTCACTTGTGTTTACCTAACAAAGGTTGCAGTGACCGTGACACATCGAGATAACCGGTCATTGTTTTGCTGTCATTGTGGTGATGAGTATTTAGCACTCTAGCGTGGGTTCAGTCGTGGGTAACTGCAGTAAAATGCACAAACGGATGTTTTAGTGACTGCATGAGTGGGTGTGTTCGCTCTGATCGGGCTGCAGGAGAAAGTGTTCACTTGTTACGTAAGACTTGTTAATCAGACTGGCGCTTTCAGAGTGATAAGGCGAGAGAAGTGTTGAGACTTATCTCTCTGCTTGGTTACATCTAGATGTACATCCATCTATAGAAGGGGTGGATTATTTATTATTGCAGGCGGCTGAAAGGGGAAAAGCCGGTGCTTTTTTTTTTTTTTTTTTTTTGTGGAACCACCAGGCAAATCCTAAAACCCACTGGCAGTAATCCCTGGATGTACTGGATCAGCATTTGAACTTGAGTCAGCTTTACACATTTTTAGCCATGAGAGTCCATCACAACCATACTAACTGAGTCAGGTTTTGCATTTTGTCAATGTTTGATGAGAAGAGTAAAAATCATAATAATAACATGATCTTGGTATAAAACTTTAGCTAGAAAGGTGGCATGTTCGTATTTAGGCACTTATTGGCTCGTTTTTTCGGCTTGAAATATAAAAAAAGATAAAATAGTCATAGTTTGATATAGGGATGTTATAAAAAATAAAATGTTGGGCCGGTTCCAATATTAATATAGCTGTCATGGCCAATAACCAATATTAAACATATACCAAGCATCGTCAGTTATCAATACTGATGCCAAAAAGTTGTGCATCCCTAGTTTGATGATAAAACAAATGAATTTTAAAGCTAAATTGTTTGTAAATAATCATTTAAGAAGCTGAAATTACCCCCGGCATAATGTAATAAATGTCTTATATTTTATCTTTAGTTTACATTACAATAATAAATAAACAGTCACCCTAATAATCAATAAAATGTTTTAATGATGTGTTTTTACATGTCTCTAATTATTTCCCTTTAAATCAGTCTGTTTTCTCCAGTTTCTTTGTTCCGTAATAACTACAGACTTCAGGCTGACTCATAAAGCGTGGCTCTAAAGGCCTGTAATTACTCACTGTGCTTTTACTGTAAAATGTATTTTTATGCTGTTTACATGTAGCGCATTTGTAATTTGTGCTTTTTGGAGGGTTTACTATTGACTAATAGAATGTGTATTTTTACTCAAAGGTCTCTGTAACCTTTTTTATAATAAATGTGCTTTTGTCTCTAGTAAAAATGATGAGTTGTTTTCTGTGGGGAAGCTCCTGTTTCAGGGGTACAACCTTGTCCGAGGGACAACGGCAGGATTACGAGTCTTAATCTTTAATATTCATTATATTCAAACGTCTCACCTCAGGTTGGCTAAAAGCAACACAGCTCTTCCACTGCCTTCCTTAATAAACTCAGATTATGTATGTATTTTCTTGGGTACAAAATGTTGATGTTTTATCTCCACAAAAGACATAAGTCTGGAAGTTTTCTGCTCTGGAGTTGCTCATGCTTAGCTTCTACTTGCCCAGATGAGGTCACAAGCCAAGATAGAGTCCTTATTTTCTCCTGTGACATATAGGACCCTGGCTTCTTTTTACTGGATCATTTTCCTTTTTTCGGATAATGCTGGAGATGGGGGACCTCTCCTTCCTGACCCCTTGGGCGATGTCGGTAGTCACTAACCTAGAGGTAAAACTGGATACTGCCTGGTTGTGCGTTCCTGTTTCTTACAGCTCCAACAGATTGCTAAGATCAAGCCAGTGCTGTTGAGACCACGTGTGGAAACGGTTCTACGTGCATTCGTACTGTCTCACCTTGATTATTGTAATGCTGTGTATGCTGGTGTGAGTTCAGGTACAGTTGCCCAGCTTCAGCTTGTTCAGAACTCTGTTGCACATTTCCTGACTGGTTCTACAAAGAGGGACCACCACATCACTCTGATGTTGGCTCAACTTGACTGGCTCCCAGTTGAGTACCGGATTAGTTTCAAGATATTGCTGCATGCATTGAAGGCCCTACTGGGCACTGTGCCTTTTTACCTCTTAGCAATGATCCATAGCTATGCTCTCTCATGGGTTTTGGACGTGCTGCGGTTCTAGGTACATGGATAGGCGAGACTGTGCGTTCTTTATGGTGACCTCTGGAATGCGTTACCTTTGTTTGTGAAGCTTGCACCATTCCTCCAGTCCTTCAAGCATCACTTAAAAACACACTTTTATCGATTGGCCTTTCCCTCATGTAATCATGATCTGGTTTCATTATGTTTCTTGGTCAGATATTGGTAATGAGTTTCCTTGACTTTCCGTAGTCAAACTTGGTTTTATTGGATTTCATTAATTATTTTTACTTTGATTGTTTTTTGTTAAGGATATATTGTCTTCCTTGTATCTGTTTTAATCTTTTTTTATCTTCATTTGATCTATTTCATCTTTTTCTTGTTGTACTGTGTCAGTGTACCGCTCCTTGGGCCTCCGCAGGGGTGATGGAAGGTGCTATACAAATTAACTTGATGATGATGATGTTAGGCATACATATGCAACTCAGAGTGGTCAATCATATTTAAAAAAAGAACAAGTATTACACTGTTTCTCAGTGAACTAGACCCTTAAGGCACCAGCGTTATACACGATAACACCCTAATTTAGTCCTTCCTTTAACCAAAAACACACCTCATACAGTGTTTAGTGAGATCATGTTTTCAGATAAAGTAATTCCTCGTAACTAGGTATGTGTATTAGTGAAATTCTGGTGATACTATATGTATCATGATACGGGGAGACAATACGATATATCACAATTAAGGCTGGGCAATAAATCGAAAAAGTATCGTTATCTAAATTTCTGACTCTTATCATGATAATTTTTCCCATGTCAATAAATTTGATCATAAAAAAATGAAAAGATGTGTGTAGATAGGCAGCGTTCATGTCCCTTTAAGAAATTGTACCACCTTGAGTCACGTAAAAATGTGACTCAATGTAATACATGTGACAGCCCCATCTAGTGGACAACTTTTTTTCTGTGCATACCTGTAGTTATCGTCCATTTATCGTTATCGAGGGGAAATCCTCAATATATCGTGATATTAATTTTAGGCCATATCGCCCAGCCCTAATTACGATATATTGCAATACATTCAGCCAGACGATATTAATGATTTTTTTTAGACTGAAGCTATTGTAGGAAAAGTCAACAAACAGTCCAAACTGATGCACAACATGTTTAACATGAGATATCTGAACCATAATAGAGGGATTTACATTTCTGTGGAAACAAAACCCATTGCACCCTGCTGCCAACTAGCGGTTGAAAAGAAAGTACACAAATGTGTGCATGAAAATTCTTCCAAAAATTCAATACACAGCTTTTTAATATCCATATAATATTGTAGGAAAAATATCACAATATATTCAATATTTTCTTACATCCCTACTCGTAACCATATAAATAGTAAAAGTTGTAATCAGATTTCCAGTTTTTTACTTTTAAAAACACTCTAAAATAACCCAACTTTCTAATTTTGTGTTATGTTTTTAGAGAACATGAGGATGAATATTTGGAAAGATTCAACCACAAGAATAACAAAACAAACACTGAATTGCCGGAGCAGAACGCGACGGTCGTCAATCAGGAAGAGACGCTCAAAGGTAAAGCTTGCATCACTCGCGCATCATTAGAGATGAGACGTGAAGGTCATTTTTTTTATTCTGGATGTGTTGCAGCACTGATAGTCGACAGTTTAGGTGAATCCAACCCTTCAGTTGTCCAGGTCCAAAAGTTCTGTTGGGTCCAGTTTCACCTCCTTGACCATCTACAAGCCAGAGCTGAGCCTCGGGAGCACTTTAGACCTGCAGTCCAGGTACAGTACTGAGTCTGAGGTTTGGCCTCTGATAGTCATAAAGTCCTTACAGCCGTGTGTTTTTCTTACATGTAGTCAAACAGTAACAGCCCTGTCGGTAAAACCGATTAATAGACCACTTTTCTGTCTTTCATGCGTTTTAGTTTAAACGTGTAGAAAGACACAAGTCTTTTAGTTTCCTGTTCAAAAACCTGACTTTACATCGTCAGAGTTAATGTGTGATACAGTTTAAAAAGTCATCCACCCGTAGTATGACTCTTTTTCTTATTCTGCTCACTTGAGTCTGCCATGAAACACCACAATACCACGTATTTCTGGAGAATATTTAACTTTTCCCATTAGAAATTTCATGAGCTGCAGTGAAATTGTTGTTTGTAGATTAAAAGAGTATATCCAGCACATATTTCCTCAAACATATTTCAAATATCTCCAACAATGTGACTTACACAACATTCTTTGTTGGTCAACTTTTTTTTAACCCTTTCTAATCTGTTAAGTAGCTCTCGTATCAAGTGTGTGGAGTAGGAATTATTTTTGTGATTCACATAAAAATGAAACAAATTAAGAAGTACATTAACAAATGCCCATGAGGTGTGAAAAGAAGCACTTGAGACGATGAGAAAAACTGTTTAGAAAAAGTGAACGGTGGAGCGTAATGCTGTCAGTCCTGTCGGTCGGCATTCCCAGAGCATCGGTTAGACGTGTAATCCCTCAAATGTTTCCCATAAAAACATTACTGTAGAAGAAGGGAAGGTAGGGTGTGTCAGTTGGAGCAGGTGAGTTCTGTTTAACTCCTATTTTCGTTTTCTAGACTTCACATGTTTCCAGTTTATTATTAGCACATTTATAACAGAAACTGCAAACAGTCGTGGGTGTTTTGTGACTTAATTCAAGAAATACAGCAATCTTTGTCATTCTGAGACTAGAATTCTGTTTCCTGTTCTCTGATGCCAGAGCAGAGAGGACAGGCTGCACATTTCAGGTAAAGAAAATCGCTAACTGGCAATAATAAAGTAAAATGAATCCCTGCTACAATAAATTAAGAAATTGAACAAATGATGCAAATCAAATGACAAATGCATTTAACTCCACCAAAAAGGTTCCCAATCTAATCAGGTGTCAAATGTAAGGCTTTCCATTCTTCGGATGCCACCTTGCATGAATAGATTATTACAAGTGCCGCCTAACACATCTGACATTGCTTATTATTATTTTAACAGTTAGAGGAGACAGGGTGTGTGTACTTTTGTGTACATGTCCTTGGAACTCTCTTATGTTGTTCCAAAAAAAACCTGTTCGTCAAGACTTCAACCTCGAAAATAGCCATGTCATGGGAAAGTAACACTTTAGAGACGCTCTGGCTCATGCCAGCTGGCAATTTGAAATGCTGATAGCAGGCAGACGGCTATAAAAGCAAGAAAAAGTCTCTCATTGCTGTGCAAAGAATTTGCATTGGTAAGATAAGTGCAAGCTGACTCATGAAAGCAGTGATACATCTCTGAACTAAAGTTTATACACACATATGTAGTGTTGATTACAATGTACACAAAAATACACTGCAAAAAGGGATTTTTAAGAAAGTAAAAATGTGTATTACTATAATCTAACTTATTTAGCAAATTGTCAGAGTTGTGTACAACATACAGGCAATGGCAGTGAATATCTGTGTCTTCTCAGGTTGATGGAAGAAGATCAACTCCAGACACCTGTTTAGGGACAGTCGGCAACTGTCCACTTCAGACTGATCTCTGTCAAGCCAAGAAGGAAGACAAGATCATCTCAGATGTTTATCGGGAACTAAGGATTACAACAGACCTGATTAAAACTCATCCTCCTAATGGCAACTGTAGACCACATGAGCATAATAATGGCTTGCATTTATCTTCATGTGTGTCACAACCAAGGATTTACACTTCGTCTCTACCTGGAACTGAAGCAGAAAAGGATATAAAGCATCATATAAACTTTGATAACCTTGAAAAACTGTGTGACCCCCACGGGAATATGCTTTCCTCCACCATGGTGACAGTTCTGGCTGCCCCCTGGAGTGGTCGACTAAGGAGGACTAAAAGATTTGATGGAACAGGTTCTTCAGAGTCTCCAGCTGATTTGCAAGATGTTTCAAATACTGCAACAAAGAATGACCATGGTCTTCAGGAGACTTCGAGCCAGAGTGCTTTAACAGATGGGTTGTACTGCCCAACTTTTGTTCCACTTTTGAGCACCAGGAGGAATACTGCAGGATGGTCAGCTAAAAGTGACCCTTCAAGCTTGGACTTGGAATCCAAAAGGATAATGACTCAGACTGTCTCTTTGGATTCAAGTGGTACTTGTCCTTCAAACACAGCTCCGTCTCCCTGGTCTCCTTTACTTGATCCAAATGAAAGAAGGACTCACCAAACAGGACATCAAGGACGCATATCTTCAGAACCAACGACAAGTAGTCTGCTTCTGTCTTTGAGAAGAGTAAATTCCAACACCACAAACTCTAATACAAACTTCATTTTCCCTGAAGTAAGCAAATCGCCTTTGAGCAGTTCTCCAAATGATCAAAATGGAAAACTTACCACACACCTCTCTCAGACTTCTTCTGCCCAAAATGAACAACAGAGACCAAGGCCTATCCTTTCCCATTCACACATTCCTTATGGCTCAACTGAAACTGGACCTGTCTATTTCCCAGCATTTTCAAATGACAGAGAGGGTAATGCACCGAATGTTAGAAACAATTCGTTCACCAAGCAAGCTCAAACAGTAAACACGATTCCAACCTCGCTTACATCTTCCAAACATCTATTTCAGGATAACAGACCACTAGAGAGGCAACAGAGCAATGTGGGTTCTGATAAACCAACACCACTTTCAGATACCTTTCTCTCCTCTGCTAGACATTCATCATATGATCAAGCCAGAGTTTTAAAAACTCACTCACTTCCTAGACGGACAACTCTGACATCTACTTCCTGGTGGAAACAAGTTTCCCCAGAAGGCAGTTCTCATCTTAGTCACAGTGACACAGTCAACACAAAAGACAAGTCTGAAGCAGACTCTCCATGTCTGACAGACAACAAAAGACTGATTAGTCAAATCCTCAGTAGCAGAGACAACAACAATACATCAGAGTCAGTTTCCAAAGGTAACATGAACCTCGCTTTGAAGACACCAGAATCAGAAATGCTCATAAAACAGCAGTATAGCTTATTTGCAGACAAGAGAGAACCACCAAAAGCTCACAGTATGCCTGATTGTTTGCCCACTTCTAAACTTAGCACAGCAGCAGCACAAAAAACACCAGTAAACACCAACCACCCCATAAAAAAGGATGCCAGTGGTACTTCGTTAACATCACATTTAAAAGAATTACCAATAACTGCATATAAACATCAGACCTCAGATTGCATTAAAAAGTATAATAATTCTCCACACAAAACCAACAGTATCCACACATCTGTACACAACATGGACTCTCAAACATTTACCAAGTCACCTCTTACTCATGATCTTACCACTATGAACAGTCAAGCTCCTGTTTCTGGCATCCCCACTACCCCAAACACCAAAAACAATGTTTCCTTCCTGTCTCCTCCAGATTCTTCAGAGACCTGTATTAATGTTTCTACATCCAATACTCTAAAGTTCAGCAACATAGCTACCGTCACACCTCTTGGTTTTCAGAGAAGTTATGCCTGTCTGCCTAAACCCTTCCGCACTAAAACTGTGTCCAGCCTGATTTCTCAAGTCAATTCTGTCACCAAAACAAAAAGTAGCTCTGTATCCACCACTCCCACTACATGTTCTTCTACCACTGCTGATACCCCACCAGTTCTTAGCCCTACTGTCTCTTCTGCCATTACAGCTCCCAATTTTACCACTGCCTCCTCCTTTCTAACCCCCCCTGCAACCCCGGGAACAACTAGCCCCAACTCAGAAACAACCACACCCAAATTGAAAAGTATGTTCAGCAACAGCCTGGAAAGAGAATCAAAGAAACTAAGTCTAAGGTTAGAGGGAAAGAAGGAGAGGCGAGTAACATGGGGGGACTCTGCTGATGTGAAATGCTCAGAGCCGGAGTCAGATTCTTTGAAGGCCCAAACAAACCTGTTATCTCCCTCTAGGCCTACTCAAAGTATTCCATCAGTCTTCTCCTTTTTACCACCAGGCAGTCCAAAAGAAGGTACATCTCCTGTTGTCTCCCCTAACCCCAACATGTTCAGCACAGAGTTGGTAAAAGGAGAGAAACATCCCTCCTTTTCCTCTGACTCTGCAGACTTAGCAGCCAGAGAGCATGAGAAAAGCAAATACAAAACTGGTGATACTTTAAACTTTGACCTGACAAGACAGGGCTTAAGTACACCCAAGCCAGAAGAAATGCCATCAAAGGAATCTGGCTTTGTAAAGTGTCGTTTTTCTGCTCCTCTCTCCCTCCCACCTGACTTCTCAAGTGGTCTCAATGTGCGTTATAGTACCCCACCTTACTCCACCTTAATGTCTAGCAGGCAAACACAGAGAGAAAAGTTCATACCACATTCATTTTCTATTTCACAATCGCCTCAGTCAAATTATTCTGCACAAACTTCCCTAAGTGCTGACCAACATGTGGCACTGACTTCCAAACCACCCCTGTCCCCTATCAGACCGTCCCAGCCCTCCTTGGTATTCCAAAGGGCAACTGCCACGCAAGACTGTTCAATCGGCAAGCTTTCAGATACTGATAAAGTCAACAATAATCACATCAAGGACCACAATCAGATTAATTCAAACAGCCAGATACAGCTTCTTGATAACAGAGTTCATGTCAGCTCACAGTCTCTTTCAGGTGATGAAGAACACACTTTTTCCTCTACGTGTGTGACTGAGACGCTGATTTACAGCATTAAACCCAAAGTAGATACAGCTACTGCTGCTCAAAAGGGCACCACACCTAAATCTTTGCAACATGGCACAAACACATTGGTCTCTATGGAGACCAAATCAAACACAATGCAGAGTACCGAAACAGTCAGACAACTGTATTCAGACCAGAGCTCCAATAATAGCAAATCTAGTGAAAGTCATCTCTGCAGTAAGGACAGCAACAGTTGTAGCATGAAGGAGAATGTGCAGAGTAAAAGCAGATTTTATTCAATCGAAGCTAATAATGAACAAAGTCCAAAGAAAAACCGGTTTGCTCTCAAGAGAAGTGCCAGCACACCAAACTCTAGTGTACCCGTGTCAGAGAGGGTCAACAAGAGTTACAACAAAATGGACCAGATGTTACACAGGTTGAAACAAAAGTTCAGCTCAAGACGACCTGATGAAGATTTAACATTTCCATGGAAATGGAAGCGAAATTCACAAACACCATCTGTTAGTGGATCAAGTGATATGAGCTGTGTCAGCGATAACAGTTTGGACAGTACAAAAACTCTGGAGGAACAAGGGCAGGAGAAAGAGATGGTACTGAATCATGTTTCAGCAAATATAGACAATACTAAAACACTCTCAGAGAATAGATACGCTATCATACCAGCCCTAGATGTTGGAGAACCAAAGGTGGAAAACGAATTAGCTGCAACTCAAGCCTTTAGTCAAGGTGCCTATCTAGAACAAGCATCCAAAGTTCATCTCACTGTCCACAGCCCAACTGACCTTGACCCAACAGATCACTTGGCTCCTGGTTCAGATCCAAATGCTGACAGGAGCCCCTCTCCTACTTCTTATCAGACTCTGTGCAGGAGATCTACACCTAGCCCCAGAAGCCCATTCTCACCTTTCTCTTCTATTTCTCCTCTTTCCCCGTTTCCTTCTCCTGATGGGGCAGATGACAGTGTATTTTACAGCCCAAAGCTGCAGCGCCGAAGGGAGTCCTCTTCCCCATGTGATCCAAGAGAAAGAATCAGCTTAGGAAGCTCAAGAAGAAGTCGGGCCTCCATAGGTCCTCCCAGTATGAGTCCAGTACAAGATAAAGAGTATGTTGCTTCCTCATATGCTGATTTAAAGTATGGAATAGAACCTGGTAGATCTTTTTCTGTAGGTTCTGTTCTCTCTGGGAGATCCTCAAGGCCTGGGCGTATTTCGACTGGATCCAGGTTTATGAGTGTGGGTGACCTTTCTCAGTCCACCTTGTCTTGTGCAGGCCATGGCAAAGAACTATATCAGGGTTCTCTTCCACCTGATTGGACGGGAGATTTTCATTGCCAGCCTACTAATGATTGCCGAATATCAAATTTCTTTGGTGATACCAGTAACACGCGGTCCAGGTCTCTACCAAGATCCTGGACCCGATTAATGACTAGCTGGAACTCAGGAGTCCCTCCTTCTCAGTCTGTGACTGCCTCCACCGCAAAGCCAGCTCTTCTTCACAGCCCCACCATGAACACTTGTCAATCTGCATGGGATACAGAAGGTCCTCCAACCCCTCCTCTAACCCCTCCGCTGTCTCCGGTGACTAGACGCATGTCCAAACCTCCCAGTTTGTCTTCTTCCCCTACCTTTTCCCCTGTTCAGCAAGGTGACATCCAACCATCCCAAAGACATTTACCATCCAGGAGGTATGTATCCAGCCTCAGCACCTTTGATGAGTCAACAGACAGTGGCTCAGACACAACCACAGATGATGAATACTACCTAGAGTCAGATGACGAGGTAGGAAAAGAGACTGAGCTGTGAAAGCAGAATGTTCTCTAAGTTTAAAGACAAACAAAAAACTCCAAAAGAAGAAAGATGTACAAACTTTTTCATGATTACCTCTGTTTGTTTTTCTTTTTTTCTCTTAACAAAGAAGGCATGAGGGCAGCTGGGACAACAATCCACCTGCTTGGCTTGCTTGTTGAAAGTGATAGCTGCAGTTGTGGCCAGAAGTTTTACACTGGATGAGCTATCTGGATAGAGCCAGTTTAAACGCAATGTACAGTATATTATACATGACTGCAGAGCTCTAATTTATAAATACCAAGTTGCTACTGTCTGTTATTAAATTTGCTGCATGGTAGAGGTGTACAACGTGGCTGTATTACAGAACAAAGCTCTCTTTGGTTAAGCTTTCAGCAATAGATCAGTCTTTGGGTTGGCATTTCATTGCACCAGGTGACAGGATACATGTATAAATGAGCTGTCATGATATTTTTATGATCCACCCTGGGTTTTAAAAATTGAAGGGAGTGTTGCATAACGTTTGGAGCATAAAACAGGAAAGCTTTATTTTCTTATCTATTTTAAACCATTGTCTTTAAAAATGATACACTGGAATGAAACTCAACACTAGCATTTGCCATCAGATATTAAGTGTTCTACCCAGTGCCTGCTTTTATTTGCACAGTGACAATATTAAATCTTTAATATATGTGTTTCATAAATAAATTCAAAATTTCTAACAAGATCCCATGTTGTTAGTGTTTCTGTTGGTTTTACTTTTGGTGCTACAGCGTTACCCAACATGAGGTATTTATTTATAATGTCTTCATCACAGGGAAGGTGAAAAAAGTCTGGAAACATGAGTGATGAGGCTACATTTTTGTCTGCAGGGACTTTTCTCCACCCACACGAATCTGTATATTTGGATGCTGTAAGTCAGACAGTTGTGGTAACCAGTAAACCCCTCTGGTATATGTTAGATTACATCAATAACTCACACTTTAACTTACTGGGAACTTTATGTTTTGACTTTCTGAGGGTTTTCACACAGAGGCAACACATTCATCTTCGTCTTATTACCCATGACTTCATCTGGGAAGGGCATTGTGGTTTGCTCCTTGTGTCATCATCCATAATGGCTTAGGATCTACTTTTCCATGTTACACTACTGTGCAAAAATCTTTGGGCCCCCAGTCATTTATTATATTTAGCCTCCCATGAATCACACCTTGTTGTGATTTTAAAGGTTTTTGGTGACTAGTTCACCAGATTTTCTAAACTATTTTTTTTCTTGTATTTTCTTTAGTGGGGGGGGTTTATTTTTTTTTTATTACTAAGCTGCATAAAAGGGATCTTGAATCTCATTGGATAAGGAATTAAAACCCAACATTGAACTGTCTCTTTTGGTGCTGTTTAGTACAAACCCTTTTCAGAAATATGAAAGGGAGTGAATTATGTTTTTAACTAAACAATTGTTTACAAAAAGCTACTATCAGTAAAGGGTAATGCACCCCTTTACATGTATTTTTGGGTGTATCTGTGTGCTTTTAAAAGAATATCTCATTAACTACTGGAGAGGTTGAGAGCTGAATTCAAAATGGCCTCTGCATCCAACTGATCATTAATAAATAAATAGTTATAATTAAGTTAATTTACAACTCTTTAAGGGTGACAGTAGCTGAGACTTCACTAACACTTAAGTAAGATTATGTGAGATTATCATAACATTGAGCATAACTCCATAGAGGTGGGTGATATGCATTTCTTTAAAGTGGCAGTGTGTAGTTTCTGTCAATAGGGGGCAGTACATACATTCCAGAGTAGTTTTACACCATTTTGTCCTGACTGTCGCTAGTTTAAAAAACATTACGGTAAATGTCAGTTAATTCCATCGAGAGAATGCAGTGCTAATTAGTTTCCGAATCTGCTCGGGGTCCTGCACCTGCCGATGACGTCATCATACTACGGCAATACTATTCGGCCAAAATATATAGCATCTCTTTTCCGATTCTGTTCTTTCACGTGTATTTTGTAAAAATAGTTTAGCAAATTTGTTAATAAATTCATGTTTCTTACTAACTAAAAGTTTTTGAACATGGTAACATAACTTCCGTAAGTCGTACGTCTAGTGTGACGTCATCGACAGGCGCAGGACACTGAGCCGGCCAGAAGGAAACAGGACGTCTAATATGGCATCCCCCAAAGATGCTAGACCCACGCCCTGTTTATTTTAGACCAGATTTTTATGGGTATATGGTACAAAGCTGCCAATATTGCTCAACAACTGGACATCATTTTATTCATTTTCAACAACATTTTGATGGAAATGTCCAGAGATTAACAGTAATTACATATTGTCTCTTTAAGGACCCAGTGCTGGGCCTTCAACCCGTTAAAGCAGAGGTGACCAAAATTTTTAAAACAATGGCTAAAATCAACAAGTTTAAAGACTTTCAGTTTAAAATGTTGTGTATTTAAATCAGCCTGCATGAGAGACATTTCTATAAATGCCACGGGGGGGGGGGGGGGGGGGGGGCAAAAATACCACTCTGAGGGCTGTAACTGGCCCCCAAACCAGAGTTTGGAGACGTCTGATTTAAAGCATGATACGGTACATTAAATTCAAAAGATTGATCTATTTATAGGTTAATGTCAAGAACGGCACAGCAGATGTTCAGTGGTCATTTTTAGCAGCCCTTCAGTAGCAAAGCCTTCAAAATAAAAGTGAAGCTCAGCTCCGCCGCAGTCAAAGTGATAAAATGAGCAGTGATCCAAGACTTGAGTTGCAGTGAGAGGAGCCAGACCTCGACATTACTGATTATACAACATGACAAAGATCAGGAGTGCAAATATTTAAGCTCTCTGGCTCTTTGTTTTATCGGGAGTGTTTCTCAGAGCAGGACCTTGTCAACGCAATCAAGGCTTCTAAACTGCACATATAAAATACCATAAATCTGTTCTCTGAGCCAGGACATGCTGGTGTAGACGTGCACCACATAGATGGTGTTTTAGGTCATAAAACCCAGAAAATGAGCTTTTTTTTTTCTTTGAAAGTCTGGGATTTTCCACTTGAACACAGAAGTGGTGGACTTGTGAGTCTTTGGTTCATCCTGTATCAGGTTGCAACAAACAGTCCTCTTTGTGGCATCAAACAAAACAACCAAAGAAGAAAAATGGCTCTATTTAACAAAAGCAAACATGTTCTAGTGAAACTGGAAGCTTTTAATCATTAATCTGGACTCGTTCCTCTCAGGACAAAGTGAGATGATGAAACTCACCCTTTAATCTCAGAGTGAAGCTTTAACAAACTGATCACCATTTCTGCTTCTTATGGAGGCATGACAACACTGCCCTCTGATGGATTCCTATGGTACATCACGTGTCTTGTTGAGTTCGTTTACCTCATGTTAACTCCATAATGATGCAGGATTGTGGAAATGGAAATTCAGAGTTTGAGATCAGGTTTTTGATGCTTTTCTCTTTTATCATTCCTCCTCTTGTCTGATCTGGCTGTAGATGATCCACCATCTCCTGCAGGCTTCTCAAACTACTGCTATCCTCTTTGTTGATTGAACTAAAGTCACAAAGCTCACTTAGACATAACAAGTAGAGCTTGCCTGCTAGGTTAGATCTCTGATGTGCTGCTGTTACCTTTCAGACTTTAACTTTGCTCATTGTCCATCTCATTTAACTCCGGCTTCCGAACTTACTTTATGTTCCTTTTCAAAGTTTATTGCACAGTTTCATCCAGATGGTGCCACTGGTCCTCCTCTCCTTCTCTAACTGCTCTCCGTTCCTCCACCTCATTCTAGATGTGAGTGATGTCACTCACCAGCTGCTGCTTCAGCAGGCTGGTGTTCTTCTGAAGGATGGTAGAGGAACGGCCAGAGTGCAGGCTTGCTCCCCTACCAGCTAGCCCCCTACATTTATGTCTATAAAATACATCTTAGTATGGCAGAAATGTGACCTCAATCGTCTTTTGTGTTTATTTATTTATTTCAGCATTTATTTTCTGGATCGTTTGTTTTTTTTTACTTTTATACCTAAAACTCCTGTTTGTTTTCTTAAAACAAATGACTCAGTAGTTAGTTTTTGTGGATATTTTGTTGACTCCATCTAAATAATGAGGATTTAAATATACTTCAATGAGGAGGCCGTCTAAAATAGCCGGCATTAGTAAAATTAGAAGCGTTGCTGGAGAAGCAGAATGGAGTCGCCGTTACCCAACAACAACTCCCAACAACAGAGAACACGAGGAAATTCCCCCACAAAGACGTAGTTCACAGAGCACCATAAATAATTGAGCTTTTTATGGTCATTGAACGCCACATTTTGCATCACGCAGCTGCTCTCGTCCTCTGAATGGATTAAATTATGATATACTTCGACAGATTTAAAAACTTTTAATGTTACTGTGGACGCTTTTTGGCGCTGATCAGTGACATCACTCACTGTCAAAGCAGTCGCGATATGCTGATATCGGTGCAAAGTCCTGAAAGGGCTGAATTTGAAAAGAGACACAACAGCTCAGAGGACTAGGACATCGCATCTCTGGCTTAATTTCCCCGTCCCTGAATTTACCCTGACGTTCTGACAATGGAAACATGGCTGATGATGTTATTTGATATTGTAGTTGTTAATTGAAAATCAATTATGTCAATTTAATTTAACAACCAGTTAATGCACTAGTAGGCAGTAAATGACTATTTCATGAATTTGTTTCTGGGGAGGATCAGTTGTCTCAATCAGCTTGTTTTGATATTTAAGATGATTTTTGTCTTTTGCACGAATAGTTTGGAAATAAATGTATTTGTTTTTAATCTGACCCTAAAGGATTTCTGTTCTGTCACAATGTATGACTTCCAGTTACACCCGGCCTGTTTTAGGGCAGCAATAACTCTGATGTGGCCCTCAGTGAGATGCTCCAGTAGCAGAAGTGTGGACTTGAGTCACATGACTTGGACTCGAGTCAGACGTGAGTCATTATTTGAATGACTTCTGACTCGACTTGATACAATCTATAAAGACTTACGACTTGACTCGGACTTGAATGCCAATGACTTGCGACTTGAATTGACTTGCATAAGTTGACTTGATGATGACTTGAGTATATTTGATATTTTAGCACAAAAGTGACACGACATGGACAAAAATCGTAAATCATTCTTCGTTCTGGGTCTGATCTTGTACTGCTAACTGCAGCAGCACTTAGTTTATATTATAATCTGTTTCAGTTGCACTTTCTGCTTGTTTGAGCAAATAAATGAAGCTTTAAGAAGCTTTTTCTGGAATTTATTTATTATCATTGTCATTAAATTGAAGTTGAACAGATGACTAGAATACGACTTGAAAATTCAAAGTTAAGGACTTGGACTCGACTTGGACTTGACTCAAGAGTTGACTGGAAAGACTTGACTTGCAAAGCAGTGACTTAGTCACACCTCTGACTAGTAGGTATGATGAACAAACTTCGGGCAGCTTATCCATCCGTTTAGGACCTCCACATAAGCCTCTCCCCCTCCCAATGCGGGGGCTGCTTCTGCTGTGAGAACCACTGGAACGGCTTCTGTCTGTACAGTTTCAGCAGTGGTTCTGAAATGTACGACCTATTATAAGAGTTTTCCATCCAGAACAAAAATAAAGTCCATTCCATCACCTCAGTTTGACTCAGTAAACATCCACTTCATTTTAAGTGACCAGTTTATTTGACATGAAAACAGGTTTTAGAGATGACTGCTCATTGTAGGACCAGACGAGTGTTGTCAGACATAATCCTCAACCAGGTTAGTCAGCAATAATCAGTTTAAGTGTTGAGACGTCAGTGAAACAGATAGAGGAAATAAAACGTTCATGGTGGGTACCAGCTAAGTTCCCTTTAAAACTAGACTCTAAATTAAACCCTCATGCTCCCTTCTACGGTTTTCCAACCAAAGAAAAGTGGAGTATACATCTAGAACCGGGGCCTCGTGTACAAAGGGAGCTGTTGAACTTGGAAAGAGCGCTGCGTCATAGCTGGTGGATATTGGTTCATTTGTTCATGAATGCCTTTTTGGTTGTTTTCTGAGGAAAAGACTCTTGCACTCCTGTTTCAGGAAGTAGAAGGCAGGATTCTGAGTCTTACTCAAAAATCATGATATGAAAACATTTTGCCTCTGATTGGTTAAAAGCAACGTGACTCTTCCGCTGCCTTCATTGGCTCTTATTTCTTGACTGAAAATGTTTTATCTCTACAAATAACACAAGCCTGAAGGAGTTCTGCTGTGTCTTAGAGCTGCTAATGCTAACGGTTAGCTTCCACTAGCCAGGATGTGCTCTGCTCTCTCCTGGACGCTAAACCAACCACGGCCTTCCCTGTCATGAGTCAAGATGGGTCCAAGGAAGTTCATTTTCAGTGTGACGTAGATCTGTGAGGATATTCTAATAATAGTAGAGTTTCACCGTCTATTTTCTATCAGAAGCCAATGCAGGAGCTAGGTGTAGGAGACTATTTTCATGTTCAGCCTGCATGAAAAACTTAAGAGTGACTGATCATGTTTCAAAAAGTTAAGTATTAAACATTTCTCAGTGATTCTCAGCATTAAGGGGTGGTGTCTGGCGTTAGTAGTGTTCTTGAATTGAGCTGATTTAGTAGGACACCCACACAAGCCTTTGCACACGAGGCAACTGTGTGTGGATGAGAAGAATAAAGGGGTCAATTTAGAGTTCAGGGGCCCTCTTCAGCTCTGGAGCAAACTCATCGGGCCCTTCCAGCAACATTATTTAACATTCAACAGAAAATGTATACTGCACATCTATCCAGACAGCTTTGTATGTAACAAAAAGAATAAGAAATTGATTGAATTCTCCTTGTTACAAGCTAAATACGTTATTGCCTTGAAATGGAAGGCAACAGAAAGGCCAGGAGTGAAACAATGGATCAATTCTATGTCCAGTAATCTGGCGCTTGAGAAACTAACGTATATGGCCAGAGGAAAACTCGAGGACTTCAAGGACATCTGGCTGCCCTTTTTGCATCTTCTAGACGCCTTTGACTTCAAAGAAGCGGAGTGAAGTGGGGGGGTGGGAGGGAGGGGATTTTTGGGGTGGGTAGGTGTTGGGGGGGGGAATGGGGTTGATGTATCTTGTTCTGTTTTAATCTGAAAATCATAATAAACATATTTGGAAAAAAAAAACATTCAACAGAAAAACAGACAAAATCCTTCAAGTTAAATCCAGACAAAAACACGTTCCTTACCCGCTCACCCTATCCCTAGAGAGGTATCAAGGAAGTACCTAAGCCTAGGAATACACAATAATAATAATAATAATAATAATAAGGATCAAGCCCTTCAGCGCCTCCAAAAATGCGGATAGGAATGTTCAGACTGTTGTTTAACTGGTGACATCAGAATATATAAAGTCTGTCTTCATTTAAAATGCCAGGCAGCAGGATAAGTACTGATGAAGCTTAATAAGAATTTAAATAAAATATAAATATCTCTGGCTCCAGACCAGATTTAACCAGTTTGAACAACTTTTAGCTTTAAATGTGGATTGATCTGCATTAGCTACCACTTAAAGACTTTGGACAAAAAAGATGTATCTTTAAAAACAAACAAAGATTTTTAAAGTGCTCGACACTACCCTGCCCACTGCATAGCATACTGTAAGGTTCCAGCCACAGGGTCTGCTTTAAATGAGTCAGAAGCTGTACGAGTTAAGAAACTAAAGTTAGTATTTACACGGCGTTTCACCTCCACAATACGCTCAAACGCTCCAACAGTGCTCCGATCGGCGTGGCGTGCCTCTCTGGAGAGTTTCTGACAAACGTCCAGGTTAGGTTTTCTTTTATAGTGACATCATCACAAACGGGCCAGAGAAATGCAGGTTAAGACAGAAGGTTAAAGAAAATAGTCTCTTACTCTCACACACACACACACACACACACACACACACACACACACACACACACACACACACACACACACACACACACACACACACACACACACACACACACACACACACACAGTGTTAATGGGGGAAGGTGTGCTGGTGTAACTGGAAGTGCGCATCCACACAGACGGTAGGATGATGAAGAGTTTGTTGGATGTTTGTGTTCAAAAGCACCTTGATAGGATCTAGGAGGCAGGAACCAGATGTGGAGGCAGCTGGACTGGATGACGTGTGAGGAAAGTGATGACTTTTATCTGTTTCAGCCCTTTTGTCTCCAGCTTCCTCTTTTTAAAATCTCCAAACTAAAATGAGTCGTTCTTCACTGCATGAGCATGATGAAAATCTTCCCGCTCAAAAGTGAACAGTTCTCCCCATCGTTTCTGGCTTTTAGGTTTCTGGGTTGGGCGTGGCCAGCAGTGGGACATTGTCCCTCCTCCTCCTGCCCAGCGGGGGGCGTCTGTACTGCTCCCCATCAGCCAGCGTCTGTGGCAGCGGCTTCCTCTTGCTCTCGGGCAGCAGCAGAATGGAAAGCACGGCCAGCAGGGCCAAGGAGGAGTAGATGACGTGGTGCAGGAAGTAGCCGTAGTGGTTCCGCAGGTCCATGATCGGGGAGCTGAGGCGGCCCACGCAGCCCAGAGCAAGCACGACACCGACACTGCTCCCCCTGAACACACACACCAGAAATAATCAGAAACTAATGTTCAAATGCATGTTCTCATTATTCATGATTAAATATCACTCTTATTCATATTGGCATTGCAACTTTTTATTTTAGGGTGTGTGTGTGTGTGTGTGTGTGTGTGTGTGTGTGTGTGTGTGTGTGTGTGTGTGTGTGTGTGTGTGTGTGTGTGTGTGTGTGTGTGTGTGTGTGTGTGTGTGTGTGTGTGTGAGGCTGATACCTGATGATGGTGGGCATGATCTCTGCAGTAAACAGGATGCAGAGGGATGCAGTGGCTTGAGACGAGAAGAGGCCGAGCACTGAGAAGACCGTGATAGCCGTCTCACTGAGATCTGACAGAGAGGAGGAGAAACAAACATTCCGTCAGTGATTCATGAGGAAAGCCTGACAGCTCGGACTCTGCCCTCACTGCAGTGTCCTTCATCATCCTCACATCATGCCTGGTGTCAGCCACAAGGGGGAGGCAAAGACACATGCAACAGATATGTGTGCGCGTGCGTGTGTGTGATCTTTCCACCATCAGCACTAGGAGGTATAATCTACATTAGAACTTATGAAACAGAAGCTGGACAGATCAGTCAGGACTTTGGAAAACAAAGACTCAACAAGAGCTTCCTAAAGTCCTTCTGAAACTACATCCAGTCACTTCTAGTAGAGATTAGTTGGATTATTAATAGTGTACTTGACTCAGTTTCCTTGTTAAAGACAGCTTACACTCCATGAGTCCTAGGAGGATCAGAGAGGCCAGGCCCGTCATCGTCATGGACAACAGCAGGATTCCACGGCGACCGCATCTATTTACGGTTGCCCAAAGCAGCAGCCAGGCTCCGCCCCCCGCACACACAGACAGCAGGTATGTCCAGTAGAAACTGGGGGCGGTGCCTCTGACATCACCTCGGAAAGAGCTGTAACAATGACTAATGCCGTGAGAGATGAACCTGAGGGGGGAGGGGCAAGGGGGGGGGGGATAAATACATGAGACAGTAAACAAAGATGGAAATTAAAACTCTTAAAGGATGAAATATGAGACAATCAGGCTAAAGGGCTGCGCAAACGCCGAGTGAGGGATGACTTACGAGGTGAAGCCAAGCACACACATGTTCTTCCAGATGTTCCTGCTGTGGACGAGCTCAGGGAAGGACAGGTAGGGACGTGAGGAGGGCAGGGGTTCAGAATCCAGCTCTGCAGCAAACAAAATAGTCAAAACAGACCTTCTGTAAATAATTCAAGAGAGGAGAAGAATTTCTACTTCTGTTAATTACTTAGGCACACACACACACACCTGTGAAGCTCTCGTCGTCCCTTACATCTCTGTTGGAGTTTCTCCTCTCGCTGAACGCGTTCATGTCTACCGATCGCTCCGACAGGAGGAGCCAGCGAGGAGACTCTGGAAACACACCAGGAATGCTGTAGGGGGGAGGACAAACACAAAGATCATTCATCCTTTAAAGGAGACATATTATGACTTTTGTCATGTTCCAATAGTTCTTTGGTCGATACAAAACACGTGTATGAAGTTCTTTGTACTAAATCCATCTCACATAAAGCAATTTGAGTTGAGTTGGACTTTATTGTCACTTCATACATATTAAAACATTTAATGAAACAAGATGTCGTTTCTCTCAGGCCCACGGTGCTACATATAACACAACAAACAAACAAACAAACAAACGGGCAGCAAATAAAAGAAATACTGCCTGCATTCGTTAAAAATAAATAATACAGACGTAAAAAGGAACAAGGCAGTAAAAAACAGTTTGATGCTGTCTATGTAAAATACTGTGGATGTGCAATGGTTAAAAATCAGTCAAAGCTCCAGAGTCGGATATTCAGTTCGGTTTTCAGAAGATTATGGAGGTCGACAGGATGACTGGTTTAGGGCTCGCACGGCCTGTGGAAGAAGCTGTTGAGCAGTTCTGTAGAGTGGGCTCCAATGCTCCGGTACCTTCTCCCAGATGGTAAAAGCTGAAAGAGATTGTGGGAGGGGTAAGTGAAGACCTTTGTGATTCCAGTGGTTCTGCTGGAGCAGAAGATGTCCAGGACAGAGGGGAGCAGGACACCAATAATCTTTTCAGCTGTGTTCACTGCTCGCTGAAGAGTCTTCTGATCAGCGGCACTGCAGTTTCTATACCAGATAGTGACAATGGTCCCCCTGTAGAATGTGGTGAGAATCAAGGGGGAGGGGGGGGGGGGGGGGTCTTGCTCTTCTCAGCCGGTGGAGAAAGTGGAAACGCTGAAGGGCTTTTTTGGAGAGTGACATGGTGTGGTGATCCAAGTAAGGTCCTCTTGAGTGTACACTATTTCAATTTCAGCTGTTTTAATCTTGACATTTTCAGTACCTTTCAGAATGAGCCTCTTCTGGGCTCTGTCACTTTAAGGAAACAAGCTGGAGCTGGCCACACACACACACACACACACACACACACAACCCTGACTGGCAGCTACAAGCTGAGATGCTCTGAAATCCAGAAGAGGCTTTGAGTAGAGCCGCTACTCCGCCAGCAGCAGCTCTCTCTTGCACGAGAGGTGGCTCTAACTTTCCTCGTTTGTGACATCACAAATGGGGACTTTTTGAAACGGCTTGTTTTAGGCTCATAATTCCTAAAACCAAACACTGACAGAAAACAAATGGATGGACTTTTTCCACTTTTGGAGTCTTTATATAACCAGTGGAGACCCACAGAGAAGAACAAAAGAAAGCAAAAGGTGGGTTTTGTATAATATGTCCCCTTTAAATCATTACATTTTGCTGCTGCGATGCCCATATTTGCTACAACAGCCTAAAAAATAAACATTTAATCTTTTTTGTTAAACTTCATTGCCACAAATCTTTTAATATCCTCTTTTAAATTGGTTTGAAGCAGCTTGTCGTGTTGCTGGAATCTTGTGGGGACCGGAGGAGGATGGATAAAGTAGGCCTAATATGTTCTGACATGAGCAGAGAGCCTCAGAGTGATGAGCTGAGAGGATCAATACCGTCCAACAGAGCCCTCAGAGAGCCAGCTGGCAGCTGGACTCTGTCACAAAACAGCCAGGACCCTTCTTTCTTCACACGGAGGTTAAAAAGAACCAACAATAATTAGGATGTTTGTACCCGTAGCTGAGGAACAGCGTCAGAGGAGCCGCTCCGGCCCCCAGCAGGCCCCTCCAGGACTGGCAGCCGAGAGCCACCGCCAGCAGCAGCAGCTCTCCAGCCACCGTCACCAGTCCGGCCAGCGTGGTCGCTGTGAGTCTGAGCGACGGCTCGCAGAGCTCCAGACCTGCAAGATGAAAAAATAAAAATCAGTAACACGTCTTTCTGCTTCTCCTGACATCTTTACATGGATGCCTCTGAGTCAGATGGGCTTTCACACAATGGTGAACCCTAAAATACTCACGTGTGATGTACAATGTAAGATAGACCCCCCCACTGGCAGCAGCCAGACAGAAGCGCATGATGATAAAGATGGAGGGGTACGGAGAGACGCACACCAGCACCCCAAACACCACCGACAGGGTCAGGGAGGTCAGCAGGGTCTTGGACCTTCCCAGCCTGCACCCACACACACACACACACACACACACACACACTGATTCTGTTACCAGACTGCTAAATGACCCCACAGTGGTTGGTTCTCTTGTGTTCACAGCTGAGACCAGGTGGTGTTACCTGTCAGCGGCGAAGCCCAAACCCAGACAGCCAGTCAGGATGCCCAGGATAAAACACACCTCCTCCACCGGGACCAGCCAGTACTGAGCACACACCAGGTCCCACTGCACAGGAGAGACCTCAGTCAGGGATTATCTGCTGATTCGTACAATTCAGACTCATAAACTAACACCGGATCAGCTGAATTAATGCATAGACTGATATCGGAGACACGAGGTAGAAGGGTTGTAGATCTGCAGCCTGTGATGCATTATAATGATGCATTATAATGATGCATTATAATGATGCATTATAATGATGCATTATAAAACAAACACCAGGTAAAGGAGACGAAAACAATAAATCTGCTGTTAGTTCAGGGTTCTAATCACATTAAGCCGAACTGCTGGTTTAAATCTACAGCTGAGCTCTGCCGTCTGCTCACCGCTCCGAGCAAAACCTGAGCAGAAGATTAAAAACACATTAAAAAAACACAAAAGGTCGTGCATAATTGGTGCCCGTGCAGCGAGGCCCGTCACGTGACATCAGCTGTGTTGTTGCCGAGGAACAAGAGAAACCCGGGGCACTCGCATGCCAGAATGAACACAAACTGGTTCTGAAACTGGTTTGGTGTGGGAGAAGTCATCGCATCCGAGTCCTTTAGAAAAGGACACGAATCTTAATCAAGACTGGGACTTTGTAGAAATTTGGGTGAAAACAGACCCAGAATCAGTTATCTATTTCATTAATAATTTACATCCACTAGTGCTGCGTCGGCCGTGGGCCGTGGCGGCGTTTAGACACCTTCCTGCCGAGTGTGGGTGGATCATCAAAGGTCCGACACATCACAGGCTGAGGGAGGGCGGTGGCTCTGACCGGAGAACAGTCAGGAAAATGCTGCTCCGGTAGAGAAATGATTCATCTCATCCAGAACCAACTTCTAGGAGCTTAAAGGAGCGGGAATCATCTCGTGTTCAGCTCTAATAGATTAAAGTTTAATTTCAGGATCATCATGGTGCCATCTGTTCTACCTCAGATCTAACCTGAAGCTGCCTCTACGTGTCACACCCGGACTTCCAATATTCCTGACGTCCAGTTTCTCTTCCACTGACTGCTTTCAGCTTCTGGTGACACGTTTCCCACCTGGCCTAAAAGCCTTTGAGTTACCCAAATCCCAAAGGTAATCCAGCTGTTTTGACATGTGTTACCATCATCATCCTCCACAGCTAATGGATGTTCTCACACATAACCACCACTAAAGCAGAACACACAAGAACAAATGGTCCAACAGCGGCTGTGAAACACAGAAGCAGATTAAATGCTGTTGTCATCTAGGCACCAGACTGGGATTAACAGTTGGAATTAGAACGTTTTTATGAACGGGGCTTGCTTGTACTTCCTCTCATTTAGTAACACGGTTATACGTTCAAAGGGCACTGCTCTGAGGCCACTGAGGGATTATTTGTCTGTCTGATGGTGTAAATATGAGCAGCTGATTCACAGATGCTGCAGCCATGTAAACAAACAAACCCCGAGTGGAGCTTTACCTCTGTTACAATGTTGTTCTTCAGCCCCTCTGTGACGTTGTAATCCCACCCAGACTCACAGTCCACCACGGCCGACTGGCTGCCATTGGCGAACTGTTTACACTGGGAAAGGCCTCCGGAGTCTCTGGGCCTCTCGCCCCTCTCCCACGGCAGCGAGGAGTTCAGGACCTCTGGCGATGGCAGTGGGCCCGGCAGGTGGCAGTGGTGGGAGGCGGAGAGGGTGATGAGGGGGTCAGAGGAAAGCAGGAAGGCCAGGAAGAGGTTGGGCAAGATGGAGAGCGCAATCAAGACCCTCTGCTTCTTCCTCCCCAAAGCCAGAACCATCACCTCCCCGGTGGGGGGCAGCGAAGGAGGGGCAGGTAGGGAGGAGGAGGAGGGGCCTGGGGAGGAGGGAACAGGGGACGATGGGAGGGATGGAGGGGGAGCAGGGCATGGGGAGGGGGAGACCAGGGGTGGTGAGTCTGGTGATGTCATCAGTCACAGTGGAGGGGGAGTTAAATAGGTTGTCCAGGTGTGGAAAAGCCCTGAGAACAAGAACATTTACACTCGTCATCATCACGAGTCTCTGGTAAGGCAAGCCAATTTACCACAAAATATCTAGATCATTCTAAACCACCATAGGACAGTAAGCTATTATTGTAACCTTCTAACACTAAAAACAACAAATAAAAACAAAACTTGGGTTTCCAGAACAGGATAATGCAGTACCAGCTAAACTGAGGAGTTATACACTCCTACTTCAGAGGGGATGAATGACCTACCGTAGAGCTCTGTTTTACATTTTGGATGTCTCAGTCTGCCTCTGATTATATTCTGCAGGCTGAACATGAAAACAGTCTCCTACACCTATCTCCTGCATTGGCTTATGGTAGAAAATAGATGGTGAAGCTCTAGGATTTGAAAACCTTGACAGATCTGACATTCATGGCCCCACATCTCTTGACTTATGTCGGGGAGGGCTGTTGTTGGTTTAGTACCAGGAACCAACAGAGAACATCTCGACTAGTAGAACCTAACCGTTAGATTAGCAACTCCACCACACAGCAGAACTCCTCCAGGCTTGTGTAATTTGAGATGAAACATCAACATTGCAAAACAAACTGAGTCAGTGATAGAGTTGTCGCTGTTATCCAATCCAAGTTGAGATGTCCAAATATCAGGAAATAAGACTCCAAAACCTGCCGTCTGAAATAGGGATGGACAATATATCGGCATCAATATCAGTATCGGCTGATGTTAGTCATTTTTTTAACATATCGGTATCGGTTCGATAAATAAAACCGGGCCGATATTAACAATCAATATTTTTTCCATCTCGTCTCCATTTGTTAGCCTGTTTCAGAGGGTGAGGGGGGTGATGTTTGATTGTTTAGTCGTGTGAACAGTGAATGAAATCGTCTCAGAAGCATAAATGTGTGTGGTGTGTGTATATAATAAGATAAATTCAGCTTTAATAATTTTCATTCCATACAAAATCTGCTGATTTTAGAAGCATTAATGTCAGTATATCGGTATCGACAAATATCGGTTATCGGCCATAACGGTGACCTTAATATCTGTATCGGCCCAAAAATTTCATATCAGTGCATCGCTAGTCTGAATATCAGCTTCTATTTCCTGGAAATGGTGCACCGGTGTTGTCACAAACATATTGATTAAACTAGTGTTCACCTCCTTTAATCATTCCACTTTTGGAACAAGAACAGTTCAAATCAGTGATTAAACCGCCACCCTGATATGACATCACACACACAGTGAGCAAATGTCTGATCACAGCAGATCTCCACATAGCTTACTAACACTAAACTATCTCACACACCAAGGACCAGTGACATCATATCTTATTTATATTGAATTAGTCCCAGATCTATGACACACAACCCAACATCTGGGCCAGAAAGGATGAACTGAATTATCTCTTAACTACAAACGTTATTGAGGAGTTTTTAGATTAAATGTTACTCATTATAAGAACATGCTTATATGTGACTCCTCCATTAGGACCAGCATCATTTCTACAGTCTGTTGTCATCAGTGAACAGACACACGTTAGTGTTAGCTGTGATTCAGGTTTGTCACAGCCCAGAGGCCAGAGAGGATGCTGGGTGTTTTCAGAGCAGCCTGCTCTCTCCTCCACCTTCTCTGAGGAAGCACATGGGGCTCCTCCATCAACCAGCCTTGTTTTCCTACAGGGACAGGAAGTCTCAGAATGAGAGTCCCATAAGGTTACATAAGAGGTTTTTTTGTACACGAGGACGTCTAAGGACTGTGGCAGACAGAGCCCGGCTGGCCTGACTGGGACTACTGGGAGGAGAGAGGTGAAGTGGACCGACACCTGCCCCGGATAACACACACACACACACGCGCGCGCGCGCGCTGAGTACCTACCTTTGAGTGTATTGTTTGTGTCAAAACACGCCCGTTGGTTCCTCCAGAGGAACGAAACATTCCGAGTAAAGACGAAACCTCGGTCGCATTCACCGCCTCTCGGCTGCGCCTGGGTCTGTTTCCACTAAAACACCATCAGACATTTCTGTCCCGGACAGAAGACACCCGCTGCCGTCTCTGCGTCTCAGGGGACAGTCGAGTGCCGCTACTCCGAGCAGGACTAGCCCTCCGCGGCTGACACATATGATGCTGTCCGCTGGATGATAACTCCTCTCTCTCCTAGTCCTCCCCGGTGTAGGTACCAGATCTGCTCAGGGCCCTGCGCCTGCACCGTGTGTCGGCCAATGACGTTACACTACGGCAACTCCACTCGGACAAACTTCATTGCGCCTATTTATTTTCAACCCGGTCAATCAGACTGCATATTAATGGAGCTTTATTGTAGCATTAAAATGTTTATGTTTATTTATTTGGCAGACGCTTTAATCCAAAGCGACGTACAATTTTTAACTTGTAGGGCATGTTGTGATCTGTAAGAGAACCGGAGTACCCGGAGGAAACCCACGCATGCATGGGGAGAACATGCAACTCCACGCTGAAAGGCCACAGCCGAGTTTCGAACCTGCAACCTTCTTGCTGCGAGGCAACAGTGCTAACAACTGCGTCACCATGAAAATGATGCTGCAATATGAAAATGTCATGTTTAGCTTATCTGTAAAATGGTACATTACAGTCTAGTAATCGATAACTTAAAGGTTAAATAAATGCTAATGTAGAGCAGTGCCAACCACAAAAAAATTAGCGTAATGTCACCTGATATATTTATTGTTCAATATAATTTTTATCTTCTCACAATATACACATATTTATCACACTCATACAGTATAATCATACTGTAAAAATGTCATACAATATCATCTTTTTACAATATTATTATAATCTAGCATAATAATCATGTAAAAAACGTATACAACATTACAACATTGTTAATTGTGTTACTATGGGAAGATTAGATCTTAAAGCAATAAAAAACATTCACATTATAACGTGATATTGGTTTACTTTGATTTTGCGTGCAAGGACATCTGGCAGTATGATATGGATGATAACTATCGCCTGATGAGAGTTTTAGTCTATTTATAGATGTTTGCATATCCTTTGACTTTGTTTACCCTAATTTTGATTAAAACTTTTGTTGTTTTCTGGTCAAATTTGACTAATTTAAACATTTTATTTTCAGATTAAGCTACGACTTCAGTTATTTATTCAACTTTTCCCAATCAAAAATGGCCGGTCGTTAGGAATTAACTGGGGGACAGCAATTAGTGGAAAAAACGGAACTAAAGCACACCTTCGTTTGTAAGATGGACACATACAAATACAACCACACACATACAGAACCACTAATTAGGTTTTTAAGTATTTCAATTCAATTCAAGTTTATTTATATAGCGCCAAATCACGACAAGAGTCGTCTCAAGGCACTTCACATAATAAACATTCCAATTCAGGACAGTTCATTAAGCCAATCAGAAATAATTTTTCCTATATAAGGAACCCAGCAAATTGCATCAAGTCACTGATAAGTGTCAGTGACTATACAGCAATCCTCATACTAAGCAAGCATAAAGCGACAGTGGAGAGGAAAACTCCCTTTTAACAGGAAGAAACCTCCAGAGAATCCCGGCTCAGTATAAGCAGCCATCCTCCACGACTCACTGGGCATCGAGAAGACAGAGCACACACACACACACACACACACACACACACACACACACACACACACACACACACACACACACACACACACACACACACACACACACACACACACACACACACACACACACACACACACACACACACACACACACATACACACACACACACACACACACACACACACGCACACACAAAGACTAGTAATGTATAGTTATATTGTGATGTCTCAGTAAATATTCTATTTGGTGAAAGATAAACTTTATTGTATTTATCCTAGTGAATCTATAATTAAACGGATAAACTAGTATTAGCACATCCAACGTCAATTCAATTCAATTCAATTCAATTCAAAAATACTTTATTAATCCCAGAGGGAAATTGATTAAGGAAAGCAAAAAGCCATTATCAGGAGAGGGAGAATGTTTTAGTGGTTAGCAGCAGTGTGCTAGTCGATGGCCCCCTCCATGAGGCCACCACAGCTCAGCAGAATGTCGTTGTAGCTTCTTCTGGGGAGAAAAAGACTTACAGAGAAAATAAAGTTAACAGCTGAAATTGCAGAAAATAGTACAGTTAAAGAGCAGACTGTAGAAGAAAGCAGTAGAGTGTGAAAAGTGGTCAGTGTATCCTCCAGCAGTCTAAGCCTATAGCAGCATAACTACAGAGATAACTCTGGATAATCTATCCTATTTAGATGGAGGCATGTTGGAGTCAGGGCAAGGGAGAGCCGTCTTTACCGACTGTACACTCCACCTCGCTGTACTCCCCCACTTGTCCAGATTTAGGCTAACATCAGATTTTAACCATAAACCCTATCAAATAAAAATGTTTTAAGCCTATTCTTAAAAGTAGACAAAGTGTCTGCCTCACAGACTAAGGCTGGGAGCTGGTTCCACAGGAGAGGAGCCTGATAACTAAAAGATCTGCCTCCCATCCTAATTTTAGATATTCTGGGAACCACCAGTGGACCTGCAGTCTGAGAGCGAAGTGCTCGGTTAGGAACGTATGGAACAATCAGATCACTGATGTATGATGGACCTTGATTATTAAGAGCTTTATATGTGAGAAGAAGGATCTTAAAATCCATTCTGAATTTAACAGGTAGCCAGTGTAGGGAAGCTAAGACAGGAGAGATATGATCTCTCTTTTTAATTCTCATCAGAACTCTAGCTGCAGCATTTTGGACAAGCTGAAGACTTTTAACTACATTCTGTGGACTTCCTGAGAGCAATGAATTACAGTAATCCAGTCTTGATGTAATAAATGCATGCACTAGTTTTTCAGCATCACTTCTGGAAAGGATGCTTCTAATCTTAGCAATATTCCGAAGGTGGAAAAAGGAAATCCTACAAACCTGTTTAACCTGGGATTTGAATGACATGTCCTGGTCAAAGATAACACCAAGGTTCCTTACTTTGTTCTCGGAGATTAATGTAATGCCATTCAGGTCAGGCGATTGGCTAAGCAATTTCCTTTTCTGGATTTCTGGTCCAAAGATGAGAACTTCCGTCTTGTCTTGATTTAAAAGCAAGCAGTTTAGAGTCATCCAACTTTTTATGTCCTCAAGACAAGCCTGTAATCTACCCAACCGATTAGGTTCATCAGGGTCAATGGATAAATATAACTGAGTATCGTCAGCATAACAGTGGAAGTTTATCCCATGCTGTCTAATGATTTTACCAATTGGGAGCACATATATAGTAAAAATAATTGGTCCAAGCACTGAACTCTGTGGTACTCCGCAAGTAACCCTGGAGTATGAAGAAGATTTGTCATGTACATTTACAAAATGAAATCTGTCAGACAGGTAGGATTTAAACCAGCCTAGCGCTGTTCCTTTGATCCCTACAACATGTTCAAGTCTTTCTAAAAGAACATTGTGATCAACTGTGTCAAACGCAGCACTGAGATCTAACAAGACTAGAACAGACACAAGATTCTTATCTGAGGCCATGAGAATATCATTTGTAACTCTCACTAATGCAGTTTCAGTGCTGTGATACTCTCTAAAACCAGACTGAAATTCCTCAAACAGAGCATTGGTGTTTAAATGCTCACACACTTGGATGGCCACTATTTTCTCCAGGACTTTGGATAAAAATGGAAGGTTAGATATTGGTCTATAATTCATTGGGTCATCTATCTGAGATGTCTCAAACTTATTTCCATCCATCCATTTTTCTATGCCCGCTTGTCCAAGCAGGGTCGCGAGGCTGGTGCCTGGACAAGTTTGCAGTCCATCGCAGGGTAACACAGAGACACACAATCAAGCACACTCACATCTAAGGACGATTTGGAGAAACCAATCAATCTGACAGTCATGTTAATGGGCTGTGGGAGGAAGCCAAAATATCTGGAGAAAATCCATGCATGCACAGAGAGAACATGCAAACTTCATGCATATAGACCCCAGGCCAAGATTCGAACCAAAGACCTTTTTGCACCAAAGCACCACTGTGCAGCCCACAATTGTTTATGTATCCATAAATATAATTGATGTTATTAATCAATCAGATTTTATTTATGAAGCGCTTTTCAAGCAAAGTGCTACTCAAAGTGCTTTACAGAATTAAAATGACCCCAAATTCCCAAAACAGTTTAAAAACATTAAAAGACATATGCATACACACACACACACACACACACACACACACACACACACACACACACACACACACACACATCAGTAAAAATTTACATTCGGCTGAGTCCAGATGAGCCAAGTAAGGTAAGGCAGGGAAACGCTATCAGAGGAGCTGTCTGCCCCGGCAGCATCAAGTCTTCCACACTTCAGTCAGGGTGCTCAGAGGAGGGGGAGCATAGACACCCACCTCCACTTAAAACACTACCTGCAGAGCGCCCAGGAAGCAACAGTCGACCACCGCCCCTGGGTCAGAGGGCCCCTAAAGAGAAAACACTGAATTAAATCAGTAAAAATATGAAAATAAAAGGGCTAATAGAAATGACAAAAGTATGAAAATAAGTAATAAATAAAATTAAAGCTGCAAGCAGTGTCGTTCGGCCCTCGCAGCTCCATGCTACTCCGGCCTGGCCGGCAGCCCGGGTCACCCGGGCACGTCCGCGGAACATAAACGTCGACCCCCGCGACCCCAGACACCACGAACGGTCTCCTCGTCTGCACCTCACCCTGACTCAGCATCTACTCTGAGCCCACCATTAAATTACACATCTCACCGCTAGGAGATACCACACAGTCTTTACCACACTGGTGGTGTGATGACACAGACCAAGTTTAATGCTATTCTGACCACGTTTTTTGAAGTTATTGAAGGTTAAAGTTATCTAGGGGGTGCTGTGACTAACTACAGAAAAATCCCATTGAGGTCAGCTTTGGTTGACAAAGATGGTTTTCTGTTATTTTGGCATCAGTCAGACGTTATGTGTGTTATCTAGAGCCAGAGAGCCGAAAGGGGGTGGAGCTAAAGGGATTTGAAACAACAACCACATCAATGTGTTTGGTGCAGCCACATGATGACACAAGCAGAGTATAATGTCATTCTAACCTTGTCTTTAGAAGTTAAAGTTTGAACCACTCTAGGGGGCGCTGTGACCATTTTCAACTAGAGGTCATCTTTGGTCATCAAAGATGGTTTTCTGTTAATTTGGCATCAATCAAACGCTGTAAGGGTCATCTACAGCCAAAAGTAAGTGGGAGGAGTTAAAGTGATTTGAACGAGTGAGCACATACATGTGTTGATTGCAGTTGTATGATGACTCCCACCATGTTTGATATAGTTTGGAGCTTTTTTGTAGAAGTTCCAAATGTTTTATTGTATCTAGGGGGCGCTGTCCCAAATTTAGGAAA